AAATGGAGACCCAAAGTTTGTACGCTACACGGAGGAAAAAGCCATTAAAGTTTTAAAAAGGTTAAAAGTTAGTGATTACGAATTACAATTTGTAGTTAAATCCCTGCTCAGACATAGTAGAGCTTTTGTTCATTTATTTATGGTAAAGACTTCGCCTGAGCTTCGTCTTTATTTTATGATATTTACCTACATGTAATGGTAGTATGGAAACGAAGTACATAATATAAAAATATAATAATAGTAGGTAATATGTGAGAGGAATTCTTATATTTCAGGAGACTATAACAATGGCAGGGAAGTGGGGATTACTATAAATAAAAGCCTTTGCCGCCTCCTCTGGCTGCAGGCGTATACAGTGCGGATACGTAATAACTGCATGTTTAGCATGCGGCCACTCCTGTGTCCTGTTTCCAGACGTAACAAGCCTGTTAGAGGCTGATAATGCGGCTTATTACGCATACGCAATGTGCAGCGTCAGACCATCAATGCAATTAAATAAAGCCGCGCCGCACACAAAGGCTCTGCAATTTGACCAGTAATTGAATCGCTGTCAAACAAGCGGGAAACAATGGCATCGTCGACAATTATGGCATCTACTTGTTGCCCCGGGCCAGGACATTGGATCGGAATCAGAAATCTGTTTATTATGCCCAGCGATTTGCAACTCTGGTCGGTTGGGGACACTTTATAGCTGGTTTGGCAAGATTTTTAATGCCTTTTTAATATGCTCTGTTCTGCTGGAGCAGAATGGCTTACGGGGATACGGGGATAATTACCTAGGGAAAAGATAGTCCTGAAATGATTTCTTTCCTAATAGCTCGTAGACTGTTTCCTGGCACTTAGACTAGGTCGCCCTAAAATTTAGTTGTTGTGCAAAAATACATTTTCCGAAAATGTTCCTTTTGTGTTAAGCTGATTGATTGTGTTTATATTGATTGAGAAAGTTGCTTGCATCCGACTTGGCTTTAAAATACTCATCAAAAGTTGGACAAAAGCCACTTGCCTTGAATAAATTTATTCGGATTCACCTTAGTTTATTTAATAATTAAATATTGCATCAATTAATAAACAAAGGAATGCATTTAGCTGCGAAGTTAGAGGATTAAGTGCTTGCAGTAAATCAGAGATAACCCTGGTTGGCACTGACGTTCAGAGTTTTTCTCCGTACAGGTAATCCCTCTACCTGTCAATAACATGAGCAGGATTTTCCTGTGTATATGTGCTTTTGTGCGTTCGTTAGGAATTATTGCACTCGATAATTTTTGTTGACAAAGGGCTCTCCTGAGGGCTTTCTGGCCTGCCTGAATTGAATTGATTGAATTTTGTGTAAATTCTGCACAAGTAATTGAATCTTCTGTGCTCAGCATAATTAGTTTAGCTCGTGCGAAGTGTGTGTATTTGAATTCGGATGCAGCTTAGGGCCCTGTAAAAGCCGCAGCTGCCACAGAAACAAACACTGTGCACCCGATAATTAACTGCGATATTTAACGGGAACGGGGAATGAGCTGTGACAGCTCCAGCTTGTCAGGCTAATAAGCCAGGACACGGAATCGAACGGCCTAACCGACTTTGGCCGTATAAGCCGTCAGTGCGGTGTCACAACTGTCCCGTGAAAATGTGTTGAAGAGTGCAAAAAACGTGATAGTGCCATTGAGGAGCAACTGTGGAAATTGTCAAGTGTGCGGAGGCAGCAAAAAACGCTGGCAATGAAATGAATAATGTATGCGTGGGCGCCACTCTCTTCCCCACCCTCACCTGAACACGCTTTTATGCACAAATTACCTGTCACTTGTGCTTATGTGTGCGTGTAGTGGTGCACATATGTTCGTGTGCGACTTGGCCGAAAGTTTTTTTGGGCTTGCAGGCTCGCAGGCTGGCAGGACCAACGGACCGAAGGACCCAGGGAATGGAGGTGCGAAAGTGGCAAAGTGGAGGGCCCAGGACAGACACTTGTGGCAGCTGCTCTGCCATAAATCTGCACTAACTGAGAGGGATAAATTTATGTTCCGCATTTGCCTTCTGATACTGGACCAGGTCCTTTCCATGTCCAGCCCCAACTGTGCGTGCAAACGCTTAATTAACACGCAATCATCAAAATGCCAGCACCGACAGGTGCAGTTGCACTTAGAAAAGCGAACCGTTTTGAAACTGGCATTACTATGCGATTAAGAAGTGTTCTCATTTCATTTTCATTATTTTCACAGATTTGTTTAGTTTAATTTTATTTAATTAATTTATTCTTTATAAATATCAAAAAATACTCATTAAATCTCTTTTCTCCATAAATAGGTTTCACCTAAAAAGCTCTTATGAAACAAAACCAATTAGTATTTATAGTTATGTTGCAACCTTAATATGGCAAACACATTTCTCCCAGTGCAGAATAATTATGGATGGAAGTAAAAATCCATATAAATACAGGCCAATTAAGTTACCAGAGAGTGTGCGGGAAATGGTCCTTCATGCCGGCCAATTGGTAAGAGTAATGTTTGGCAATGAACCGGACCCTGGTCTCTGCCAACACTCTTCTCAATCAAATGTGCTGGCCAAGTGGCCGGAGTCACAATATGCCCACAAGTGGCTAGTTTGTGCCATAAATAATTATCGGGCTGTGGGCCAGCCTCCCACGTCCGTATCGTACCTAATCAAACACCTGAAAGCCCCTTCGAGAGCCCTTAATACGGATAAGTGATTGGAGGGGTCGGGGAAGTAAATATCCCCATATATAATGAAAATCATTGACCACATGCGGCTGGCCTGGCTTACTTAGTATTTAGAGCTTGGAAAAGTCAAGAAAGTGAGTGCGGGAAATTTGGGGAAGACTTTGAGTAGAAATATGAGGCCTGAAAGCCCCAAATTAAGATTATGATATAAGTTTCCCTTTGACGGTGGTCTTTATTAATTACGAAAGATATACTAATGTATTAAAATGAAACAAAAAATAAAAATTATATTATTAGGCGTAGAGTAGTGATATGACCATATTCATATATGTTGGGTATAGTTATACCCGTTAATCGTAGAGAAAAAGGGTATATTAGATTCGTTGAAAAGTATGTAACAGGTAGAAGGAAGAGTTTCCAACCCTATAAAGTACACAGATTCCTGATCAGGATCAATAGCGATGTCGATTGAGCCACGTCCGTCTGTCCGTCCGTCTGTCCGTATGAACGCTGAGATCTCAGGAACTATAAGAGATACAAAATTGAGGTTAAGCATGAAGATTCTAAAATCGCTGAGATCTCAGGAACTATTAATTAAGATTATGATCTAGAAAGTTGAAATTAAGTGTGCATTATTTTGAGATGTCAGCGCATCTTATGGTGATATCATTATCGGGCCACACCCTCTCTTACGCCCACCAAGCTCGAAAGACGGTTTTCGCATTTTGTAGCATCTCGTTTTTTTGTATATCTCGTTAATTTTATGATGCCCCAAATGCGAATTGTTTTTTTCCCACCTAGCCACGCCCACAAAACCCAGAAAACCAAAAATTCAAAAATGCCACGCCCACAAACCGCGGAAACTGTGGCGTCCATAATATTATATTGAATGTCTTCATTTGACCTTGTATAACATATTTATGGCAATGTCTATCGTTTAAACAAAGATTTTTCAATTCGGAACATTCGCTATTAATGAAGAACTATAGGTTATAACGTATCCATGGACATATCTTATTGGTATCTTATAGTGCCGCAAGCACCCGACTACAGCGTTTCTTCTTGTTTTAGTAATACAACTTGTCTTGCTCGTCCATTACCAATATCCTTATAGCTTGAGCTTTTCACAGGGGAAAACTTTTTATTTTTTACTTAAATATTATATATCCACTTTCTATGCATCGATGCTAGTGAAAGCATTCGCTATTGTTTTTCGCGTTTCGCAGCATATCAAATACAGTTTTACAACTTTTCCATGGCATATTAACCCCGCTTCATGGCTGTAGATTTTAATTTGCAATTTTCCATCTAAAAAGAGCCGAGCAAAAAGTTTCCCCTCCCCCGCAGCGTATGCAACACTTTGCTGCAACTTTGTGCAGCGTGCAATTACATAATTCAATTAAAAAGTTGACAATGTAAACGGGTTGCTAGGGTCTGAAAATGTCAATGAACAATTCAATTAAATTTAACTCACACGCCGATGGCAGGCGGGCAAACTGCAGGAAATATGGAAAGCAAGGCGTCTCGAGGATGGTGTGGCAAGTTCTCCCGAACGAATTCGGATGTGATGGCATACTAATGAAGGCCTATGGGAATCGATGGGAAAGGGAGCCCAGGAAAGAAAACTCCACAGCTGATTGTGAATCAGGAAATAACATTGAACATAATTAATTACGCCTGACGCCGACCGAAAGAGATCCCCTGGGAGTTGCCTTTAACGTTGCTTAGCCAACACCGAAACAAGAAAACCAGTCTTGTAGCGTAGAACAATAGCATAAACAAACGACGATGTTTTATTCTGTATGAAATACATATATCAGATTTAACCTATTTTCACAATCAGTTTTACATACCGCAGTCTCGCCTCCCAGTCTCTTTGATCTCTCCAATCGGAATAAATCTGAGCGGGAGATTCTGGCTTACAATTCACCATTTCGTGTGACCGCATTTAGCTTTACAATATGATCTCTCTAACGATTTACAACATCGATAACAAATACTGAAATACTTGGCGCTACATTTAAATTTACTAAACCTTGAGCGATATGTTAATCCGTTCCACGACATCCCCACCCCGGTGAAGCAACTGCATTCACCACATCCAGGATAGCCAATCTGGAGATGGGACGCATGATTAACTTAGCTCGATCGCCATTGGTAGTGCGTACCGCCGCTCGTCGTGGTACTCCATCCGCTCCTGGGTACACTTCCTCCACGACGCCTTTCCTCCATTCTCGACGAGGGATGGCCGGATCACAGATGTACACGAGATTCCCTGGGCGCATAGGCTCGACATGCTCGCACCATTTCTCCCTGCGAACAAGCGTCGGTAGATACTCATGTACCCAACGTTTCCAAAATCTGTCTCTCATCATCCGTGCGATACGCCACTGCTTCCCTAGTAGCGCACTTGACAGGCTGCTCTCCGCGATCTCCAGGAAGGTCCGGAACATTAGCCACTCCTCTTAGCAGATCGTTGGGCGTTAGCGGTGCCTCCTGATCCACAGTGACTGGAAGGTGGGTAAGCGGACGAGAATTAACAATATTCTCCGCCTCAATAAGAAAGCTCTCCAAGACGTGTTCCTTAGGAGCCACCTCCTTCACAGTATGCGCGAGCACCTTCTTCACACATTGGACCATCCTTTCCCAGATGCCGCCGGCAGCTGGGTTCGCGGGACAGTTAAAGATCCATTCGATTCCTTTGGATGACAGCTCATCCTGGATCTTTTCTGGTTCGAAGACTTCATCGAACTTTCTGGCCTCACGATCTGCTCCAATAAAGTTCTTTCCATTGTCGCTCCTCAATCTGACCACCGGTCCACGGCGGCACATAAAATTCCTCATAGCGATGATGCAGGAATCTGTTGACAAATCGTGGGCTATCTCCAGGTGGACAGCCCTGGTGGTTAGACAAGTAAAGAGTGCGACCCACCTCTTCTCAGTGCGACGTCCAATCGTCACAAACAGCGGACCAAAGTAGTCCAAGCCAGTATACTTGAATGGCCATCCATTCGGCTCCAGCCGGTCCTCTGGCAACGGACCCATCAATGGCGGAATTGGTCGTACTCTCCGGAGTTTGCACAAGTTACAGGTTGCCATAACACTCCGTAAAACTCTCCTTAAATTGGTTATCCAGAACCTGGTCCGGATCTCGCTTATGGTCGCGTCTAGATTCTGGTGCTTCATCTTCCTGTGGTAGTGACGAACTATCATCTCTGCCAGTGCGTGTTTGTGCGACAGTATGATCGGGCGCCGTGCGTTGAATGGGACGCATTCGGCGGCATCAATCCGTCCACGCGCTCGTATGATTCCATCGTGGTCGACGTAAGGGGATAGTCCTCGTAACTGACTGCCTTTCGCCACTGCCTTTCCTTGAACTTCATCTGCGAACGTATCAGCCTGGGCGCGCTGGATCAGTTTCCGTTCTGCCTCCGCGCACTCAGTAGCTGTAATACCGTAGGCCTCACTCTCGTCACTCAATCCACGGCACCGTCGTATGAACCTGAGGATCCACGCTGTGGTCCTGACCAATCGATTATAATTCGAAAATCTCTGCAAAAATATAAACTCGTTGGCAATTACCAGTGTAAACTCACACGGCATCTCTTCTTCTGCGGAGTGTGGACTGTCGCGATCACTTGGAGATGGCTTGGGCCACTGTTCTTCCGACTCCCGCAGAAATGATGGCCCGCTCATCCACCTTGCCCCTTGGCTGAGGTCCACATGGCGCTGTGGCCTCGTCGCGTCATCTGCCACGTTTTCGGCAGACGGTATCCACCTCCATTGAGACACCTCCGTTGACTCTAAGATCTCCGCCACCCGGTTTCCAACGAACTGCTTATACCGCCGGTGGGTGCTGCTTATCCAGTGCAGCACGGTCTTAGAGTCAGTCCATAGCACGCATCTGCTGATCGATACGTCGTGCTCTCGTCTTACGGTGTCCATCAGCCTGGTTCCTAATACAGCTGCTTGGAGCTCCAGGCGCGGGATCGTCATCGTCTTCATCGGGGCGCATTTCGTTTTGGAACACACGAAATAGGACCGCACATCATCGTTGTCATAAGTCGCCCTCCAGAATGCAACTGCTGCGAACGCCGATTGGCTGGAGTCCACAAACACATGTAGCTGCAGTTCACGTACGCATCCCGTGCCAAAGTAGTAGCGTGGACAGCGGAAATCTCTCACGTAATCCATTTCCAGCCTCCAGCTCTCAAACGCTTTGGCTAACTCATCCGGCAACGGCTCGTCCCACTGAACTCCTCTCCGCCAAATCTCACGCATCAATAGTTTGGCGGTTACCATGAAGCAGCTCAAGAATCCTATCGGGTCAAATGTTGACATAACCAGACTTAGGAATTCTCTCTTGGTGGGTGCACGTTCTCCGGTCATCACGCTGCTGGGAACCCTGTGGTACTTTACGCTGAATTTAAAGTCATCCGTCGCTGGGTGCCAGTACATGCCTAATATTTTCTCCTCCGCTTCATTCCATTCAACGTTCTTATTGGATCCTAGTGGGTTCAAAGCCTTGACCACACTTTCCGAACTTGATGAGAAGCGGCACAAATCGAAACCGGCCTCAGCATGAATTTTCCTTACTCGTTCTGATACAGCGATAGCTTCTTTCTCGTCCGAGAAACTATCCACGTAGTCATCTACATAGTGATACTCATTGATGGCCTGAACCGCGCGAGGATCTGCTTGGGCGTATCTTGAAGCGTTTATGGTCTTCACATGATGCGCTGAGCACGGCGAACAAGCGGCTCCGAACGTCATCACAACCATTTCGAACAGATCTGGATCTCGCCGGTCATCTCCATTCCTCCACAGGAATCTCTGGGCGCATCTATCCTGGGGCTGTATCAGCACCTGATGAAACATCTCCTTTATGTCTGCGCAGACCCCGACTGCTCCTTCCCGGAAATGGAAGAGCACGGCTGGCAGGGACTTGAACTGTTGTGGGCCTTTGAGTAGAACTGAGTTCAAAGATGTATTGCCCACTTTGGCTGCGGCATCGAAGACTAGACGGATCTTTCCGGGCTTGTTTGGGTTCTCGACCCCGAAGTGCGGCAGGTACCAGATCTTGTCCCGGTTATCGGCTGCCACTTCCTGCTGCTCCAGGCGTCGTGCGTAACCCTTGTTGACGTAGTCCTCCATGATCGACTTGTAGGCCCGTGCAAAGCTGTCATCCCGTCTCATCTTCCTTTCAATGCCGACAAGTCTTTTGAGTGCCATGTTATAGCTGTCAGGCAGGCTCACTTTATCATCTTTCCACAGCAATCCAGTTTGGTATCGTTCGCCCACTCGCCTAGTCGTCTCGTTCAGGATTCCCAAAGCCCGTGCGTCGCCACTAGCTGCGACTGGTGGCGCCGGCTTCACTCGAAATTCTCTATTTCGAAATAGTCGCTGACCATCTTCTCGAGATGATCATACTGTGGGACGGCTAGGAGGCACGATCTTTGCATTGGTGAACTCATCTGACTTCTTACAGGACCAAAAACCACCCATCCTAGCTTGGTGGCGGCTGCATAGGGGTCCTCCTGCTCCGAAGCTCCTGTTTTGCATAGGTATTCCTAGGTGCGCATGGTCTAGTCCGATTAAAATCCTCGGGACCGCATTACGATACGGTTTCATCGGCAGGCGTGCAGAAGCCTTCGCCGCTTTGACATCTTCCCGACGCAGACTTTGCATCGGAAGATTGAGGTTAGAGACCGCATACACATTTTTCAAAGCATGGCGTTTCGGTCTGCCCGCTTCACTAATCTGGAGGCTGACCATCTTTGTGTTCTCTTTCGCTGACTTGCCACCGAACCATTGAATGTTGAGCTGCCGACTCTCGCCTTTTAGGTTTAGGCTTCGAGTGAGCTCCTCGTCGATCAGGGTCACGGACGAACCTTCGTCGAACAGCGCGTAGGTATCCAGCTGCGTATCCTCCCCGTACAGCGTCACGGGCAAAATACGGAATAGTAAGTGTCCTCCATCCGGATCGACGCAACTTAGGTTCCGATGTGGCAATCCATTACCGTCACTTGGCTGACGGCCTTCGTCCCGCTTGCGCCATGCATCCTGCGTCTGTGCAGATGCCGTAAGTGGACTTCTCTGGGCCAGATCATCTGGCTGATGTACTTGCTTGTCCACCTTCCTCCTGTCAGCGCCCGCATGTACCATGCGACCGCGATCGCTCCTTTCATTTGGCCATGGTCGACCGTGGGGTTGCGATGGCCGTGTGGGGTTGCCCACCCCGTCATGCAGGAGGTAGTGATGCCCCATCTGGCATCCGTAGACGTTGCACTTGCTGTTTCTCTTGCAGAACCTGGACATGTGACCGCTCTCCAGGCACGAGAAACAAATCCGATGCTTTCTTACATACTCCATACGGGCAGTCGGAGTAGCGTAGTTGAAATCCTTACAGTCCTTGATAGTGTGTTGCCCCTCGCAAATTGGGCAACTCCTGGGATGATCTTCAAATAGATCCTGATCCTTCTGACTGGTGCTGGCGTGCAATACCCTACGCTTAGGATCCTTGCTGTTGCTGCTCGTAATAGTGCACACTAATTTAGCGAGTTCGTTTAGCCATTCGCTCAAGTGCGCGACAGTTGGGTAGCACCCTATTACGGCGGCGTGCCTGGCCCAATCCAACCTTTTGCTCAGTGGTAGCTTGGCGATCAGCTCTTCCATCAATGTAGGATTTCCTAGGTGCTGCTCCCCGTTCGGGCTTGACTGTAAAAACGCTGCGAGATTGCTGACCCGTGTTGCAAACGGCACGATCTTTATTATATTGTGTTCTTGGATCGGCTGCACCTCTCGCACGCTTTCCAGTTGGCTACGTATCAGTTGCTCCGGGCGTCCATATCGGAAACGTAGCTGATCCATTACAGCCTGAACGTTATTCGGGTGTATAAGCAGCGACTTGACAGATGCTCGCGCTTCACCCTTCAGGGCTTTCACTAGCCTCTGGTTGTTCTCCAACGCAGTACAATTATACGCCGCCGTCGTCTCCGTGAACGCGCATTGGAATATTGGCCATTCCTCAGGCTGACCTTCGAACTCTGGAAGATCAGGCAGTCTGCGCGGCGTCCATCCAATTAACGTGCTCGGCGAAGCTATTCCGTATGAACCAGTTGATTGCGGGGGTACCATCAGGTTGCGAAGAGGTTCCCGCGTAGCTTGCATGTAGCTTAGTGCTGGCTGCACAGTAGCCGTCACGCAGCATGGTGTGGAATAGCTTAACGTTGTACTGTTTGTACTGAGTGTGACTTGTTGCCCTATTGCCAGATTTCCACTCGATTGTGGCGGCAGGTTTCCACTCAATAATGGCGGCAACTGTTCATGTAAAAATGGCGTCACTGACTCAGCCAAATTCGGTGCCAGATTTCCACTCAACAATGGCGGCAGATTTCCACTCAAGTTCTGCCCTGGCGTTCCGCTCAAACATGGCGGCGCATTCGCCGCACCGCTCGCTCCTATACCGCTTGATCCGTTTCTAACGGGATCCCTCGCGGCTGCATCTTGCCCTTCACCTGACCTCGCCTTTTGAAGCTCCCTTTCCAAGGTAGCGATCCTCTCCATCAGCGCCGCAAACTTGGCGGTTGTGGTGTCCGTATCCTGGCCTGATCTATCAGGCTTTGGAGCACCACTTGGGATTAATTCCGGTTGCTTTGGAGTCCGTGGCCGCTGCAGCTCACCGCCCGATAAGCCCGGCACATTCTTCGGAGTGCCGGCTGATGTGGTCGCGGTGGTCGTAGTTGCAGTTGCGGGAGCTCCCGTCTGTCCAATTCGGGGCTCCGCCGGGGTGAATGTGAAGTCGGCATTGCACGATAAAGGAGTGCGAATAAAAGAAATGACGCCGACCGAAAGAGATCCCCTGGGAGTTGCCTTTAACGTTGCTTAGCCAACACCGAAACAAGAAAACCAGTCTTGTAGCGTAGAACAATAGCATAAACAAACGACGATGTTTTATTCTGTATGAAATACATATATCAGATTTAACCTATTTTCACAATCAGTTTTACATACCGCAGTCTCGCCTCCCAGTCTCTTTGATCTCTCCAATCGGAATAAATCTGAGCGGGAGATTCTGGCTTACAATTCACCATTTCGTGTGACCGCATTTAGCTTTACAATATGATCTCTCTAACGATTTACAACATCGATAACAAATACTGAAATACTTGGCGCTACATTTAAATTTACTAAACCTTGAGCGATATGTTAATCCGTTCCACGACAACGCCAGCAATTACTCGGACAAGGACCTCGACCTGGCACGTGCCGACCCCACTTTAGGTCCACCTGACAGCGTTTCTGTTGTTGACAAATCATTTCGAGGCTCGAACTGAATGCAAATCAATGCTACAACACTCTGCCCAAATCGATCAATGCCCATCAACAATAAATTAGTTGACCTTTTCGATTGGGCCAGGAAGAGCATTGTGCCTTGGATTTGGACAGCATTGTCATCGGCTGGACTGATCCCCGGCTACAGGCATTTCAATTCGCCTAAAAGCTGTGGAAATCCCTTGAAGAATCACAAGAAGAAGTCCCTCTCAAAGCCTGTCTTTGAACTTTCTGTTTTTGTGCTGACTGCCAAAAACTTTTGTAGCTGCGAATTGTCGACAACTTTTTGCCTTCTACCCTTTGTCCTTGCGACTTGGCATTGGCGTAATGAAAGTCTCCGGCAATGAAAATATGTCCGGTCATTGGAAATAAGCCAAAGAATTTGTAACGGCAAAAAATGTTTATAAATGCAATCAGCCAAGTGACAGTGAAAACTTTATGGCCAACTGCTGCTGCTTCGAGAGTGTAGTCTGCACATTTGGTGGCGTCTCCTCGCCTACATGAAGGCAATTGCCAGAACTCCCCGGCTTCCTTGCCCTTCAGTAGTGTCGCGATGACTATTTTGCTGGCTTTTTGCATGGTTTTGCATGGCAGGGGAATTGTTGCGCATTTATTTTCATTGCCTCCGGAAGCCAAACAGGACTTTAAGGAAGTGCACACAATAAAATTCACATCCTATTGAGCTTTATAGGTAACCTTTTGGGTATACAATTATATGAAACATTCATAATGATCTTATATATGATATGGTGAGCTTTGTGAACTACGAACTCTAAACTGCACTTCTTGTTAAATCGGTTCTCTTTTTTTAAAATTTCTACCGTTCTTGTTTTATTTCCATTTCTATTGCTTGAATTCATTCAGTATAACTTAGATAAGTTCCCATGGAATTCCTACATTTTAAAGACAAAATACTTGGACCTTTAAATGCACTGTAATGTCTAAGAATTTTAAATTTTATTTCATAACTTTATTATGTCCCTAATAGGTTGCCTCTTCCACATTGCATTGAAATAACAGTCTCCGGCTGCTGGGTGCTTGCCTTCTTTGAAAGCCAATCAAAATACCCATTTCCCCAGGTAGATTGCGAAAGTTTTCACAAGTCTTGGCAAACATGAAACTGACAGGTATTTTGGGCACACATTCATACATTTAATACGCTGCACATTTGACTTTGAATTTGGCCCGATAAGTGTGGCATAGGAAGCAATTATATCGGGGGCAGCCTCAGAAGCAATCATATAGGCACATAAAAAAAACAGAAATCTTCCAGACTCCATCCTGGACTGAAACCATTAATGTCAAGGACATTTTGTTATTCCTGACAGGCTCATTTCGCACTCTAGCAGCGAAGAAAAAAGATGAACTGCATGAGATTTCCTCCCACAGGCTGAATGTTAGATGGCTGGCCGAACTTTGACCTGACTTTGCTATATCTATTGATCCCCCGCCATCCGCCATCTGATTCAAGTCCTTTGGACACATGGCAAATTATAATCGTCTGCCATTTTGACAAGCCTATCAATTGAGTTCCGTTTGGGCCTCGGAGGCCCCGAAGTATATCTCAATTATAGTGACCTTCTTCTGCTGATTGACCCAATGCAGAAATTACTTCCAAGAGAGGCGCAAATTGTGTTTATTGTTACGCTTATTATGGGGTTCCGCTGCGTCAGTGCTTCGTTTCCCAAAGTTTGTTTGGCGAATTCACACGAGTGTCACAAACATATTGTTAGGATGAAGGGTATACTGATTTCTCCTAATTGGCCAGGGGTCCCATGGCATTATCCTTGTCACGAAGGCAAAGCTAGCTTATGGTTTGAATTCTTGAATTATCTTAACCGTCAATGTTTAAATGGAGTAGGTGTATGGTGGTCTAGCGTTTTTTAGATGAAGAAATA